CTGTGTGGCTCGGGTCCGGGCAACCCGTCGAGCCGCTCACCGCCGCCGCCGCCGTCGTCCTCGTCGCTGCTGCTCTCCGCCTCGTCCAGGTCCTCATCCAGGTCTTCCTCCAAAGCGCTGATGCGTGGCTCCAGCATCTCGGCCTCCTCTAGGACTTGACGCTTCTGCAGCCGTGGCAGGATGATGTCACATATTCTCTCCGAGTGCAGCAGCTCGTGGATGAACTCGTCCACATGCATCAACTCAAACTCGCCATTACGGTTCTGGGTCTTGATTTTCCTGTGGTCGTTTTGGATTTCGAGAGACATAGACGAGTGAAAAGGGTGATCCCGGGCAACTCACATGGCCATTATACAACAGTTAGCATTTTGCATGCACATTTTCATGTCGTAAAAGAACACATTGAAATGGCAAGTCAAGTCAAAATATTGTCAAGACAACAATGCACTCTATGCGCACACACTAGTCCAAATATGACATTCTGATGAATATTGCCTTTGTGGAATATGAAGCAAGCAGCAAAATCCAGCCATTTTGATCCATCTCAGGGGGACGAATATTTTTACTTGAAAATGACGTCACCATTTCCTCAAGTGATGACCACGTTATTGGTACCTGAGCCCTGGGCAACTGTGAGGGCTTTTTCAGTCAAAATGGCTTTTTCTTGGAAGGTGATATTCATTTGCACGTTTTGTGCATCTGCTGCGTGTTTTCTGCGCATGCGTTTCTTGATTAACGTAACACTGTGCCTCGTATGCCTGTGCGTGTACTATACCCTGTGCATGACCCGCTGTCCCAGTATCTGGTTGATGGTGGCGCTCTCCTTGACTTGGCACTGTGCAACCACTTTGGGCCTTTCATCCCTCATAAACAACATGAAGGCATTGAGCGGTTTCTTGATGTGACCTTTGGCCTTCTGATCGCTGCTGCCACTAACATCTTGCGCTGTCATCACTGGCTTCCTGGCGGTGGAGGAGACAGCAAAGGCATTTGATTGACTTGTAGCCCACCTGCCATGAGAGTGTGGCCGCCATATTGGATGTGGCAAAAAAAAACAAAACAGATTTGCTGTCTGTGGTACCTCAGCGGGCTGTGCTCTCGGGCCTCTTCGGGTTCCTGCTTGATGGCGACCGCCAAGAAGGAGCTGGGAGAGGGCACAGGCGAGGGTGAGGCGCTCACCAGGCCAGGGGATGAGCTGCTCCAAATCAGAATATAACACAATAAGTACACAATGATGTCACGACATGACACAACAACCAAATTAGAAAACCTCTCAATAAAGTAGAAACAAGAGTGGGAAAAAAAAATAAATTCTCGTGAGGATCAACACTTACAATTCAATATCTATTAATTAACCAGGCCCAGCGCCGCCTGCCAGACCCCGGCTTGGACAACACACATAAAGTTTGTACTCACAGCCAATCAAAGGCGTGCGCCATCTGAGCCACGTCGGCGGGCGAAACGGGATAGCGTGCAACGTGGGGCAGCCGGGACGAGCCTGCTTGAGAACACATGGGCGTGTTAGTGTGCGGGCAGGCCGGCGGGCTTGCTGGCGTGTCTCACCTGCTTCGGGCGAGAAGCTGGCCAATGCCCTCGGCGGCGGCGAGAAGGCCTCGGGCCGGTAGGACAGCAGCGGGTGAAGATGAGCCATGTGGGCGGGCACACCGCTAGACTGGAGGCACACACACGCACGGCGAGTCACCTTATTGGCTGCCATGGTGTCATGTGACTTGTAGACATTGCCGTGTCTCTTACCAGGTGAGCCGGCGTGGCTGAGTCTCTCCTGGCTGCTCTTCCGGGGACATCCAGAAAGGGCCACTGCCACGGCAGATACTATGCATGTACGTTCATCCACACACCAGTAGAAACAGGAAGACACACACACACACACACACACACACACACACACACACACACACACACACACACACACACACACACACATAGAAACAGAAAACAGACACAAACACATGTAACCCCGCACACCAGAGCGCCAGCCAGACCTCTAACCCTAACACATTTTACCAGGAAGGATCCCGATAAGTGAGTGCGCTTTGTTTATTTCTCTTTCTATGCCACTCAACATAGTGATGTTAGAGCAACAATCATCAAAGTAGATCTTTTTGAAGTGCAATTATCTTCCCCTTCTCCAGGATATTGACCATATACATTGAAATGTAGAACAATTGTCTCAGATGAAAAATAGCAATTAAAATCACTCAGGCTGTGGTGGTCCTGTGCCGACCGACTTACCGCATGGGCGCCCGCCGCCAGCCCTCCACCAGTTAGATACGAGCCGCACAGGTCGGGAATCATGAAGAAGGGGTAGCCCACGTAGGCCGGGTGCTGGAAGAGACCCCTACCCCCGGCCTGCCTCCTCAGCGCTGCCGCGTGACAACACGTGAAAGAAACACATATCATCACCGGGTCATAACAGTTTGGAAGTTGTCATTAAACTTTGTTTGATTTTTTTTTCCAACCCTCTTAGTTTTCTTGAGTTTTTAGAGAAGGTTTATTGTCTTATTAAAAACACTCGTTTTTATTTTGCCAATGATGAAATGTTATTTTTAACTCTTGTTTTGTTTTCAGAGCACATTATGTGAAATACATTATTAACATATCGGAACACAGAACAAACAAGACTATCCACCGATCCAATCACCTATATTTAACATCTAACACATATTTTGTGATTGGCCATTACTAAAGTCTTAAATCGCAGATCTAATCAACAACAACATCAACCGAATTGGCCAATTAAATGCTTCAACATATCCGTTCACTTGTGACGGCACACCACCGACTACATTTGGCTACAACTCATAGTTTTTGGTGCAACCTGTTGATATGTAAGAATTGTATTAACGTGCAATGAAGCGCCTCTTTGATGACCAAATAATTGTTGAAGAATAAGTTAATTGTTGTAAATCTACAGGGAGTTGAAAATGGATGCTCGATGAATCGCTACACTTCTATTCCGTCCAATGTTTGTTTACACAATGGGGTGTCCTCTGGGGTGCGTCAGGGACCTTGTCCAGGTTCAACAACAACAACAGAAACAACAACAACAAACACCACGATGCGTTCAATGACTGGAGCGATACCTTCCCCAAGCAGCTGGCTGCTTCCAGCCCGGTCGGCAGAGTCTGACTGACGTCTGGCTCGTCTGTCTGCCGCCTGCCCGGACACACGAGACTGAGAGAAGATAGAAAAGCAGTGCAAAAAAAAGTTGGCAGGCCAGCGGCTCGCTCACCTCTGAATCCGACGGGCTGTTATTTGTCTCGGATTCGTTGACTAGCGACGACTTGACGTCGTCGAGGTCCCGCTCGGCGGCGGCGGCGGCCGCTGTGGTCGTCTTGTCGTCGTTTTCGCCCTCATCCTTGAACGGGATCAACTCGTCGTTGGCGCCCAAGTCTCCGTCGTCGCTCAGCTGAGGCATGCTAGCGAGTGTATTAGCCTCAGACGGAACACACTTTTTGCAAGAACGCGTCGCCACCGGCCGCCCGCCCCGTGAAGTCGACTAGCCGCTTCCTTGAGCGACGGCGACCACATGCGGTGCTCCACTTTTTCGGCAAACGGGCGCAAAAAAAGCGCGTTGGAAACACTTGCCAGCGGCAGCTAGCTAGCGCTTAGCTGTTAGCCTTTAGCTTCCTGCCCGTCTGTCTGCCTGCGGCGTTCATTGACGGCCTGACGTCGCTCGGTGTGCCACAAGTTGCACACGTAAACTCATCAAATATGAAACGTACAATGCGTAAAAAATTAAATTGGCTTATCGAGGTAACTAGTGAAAAGTTTCCGCCCCTCGGCATTCGCTTAAAGTTGCTCCTATGGAAGAGTAAGGCAACTTTCCTACATTGTTGGCGCCGTGTGAACCTCTCACGGTGTCCCAGGGATCAGCGCGCGCCCGTAGGCCGTGTTCCAAACGAGCGTGCACGCACGCGCGTGACAAAGGCACGTCCCAGGGAAGTGGAGGGGTGGGGGGTGTGGGGGTGTAAGGCCCGACAAAGCGGGTGGTGAGGCCCTGTGCTTACTGACCCGGGATCAGATGTTGTAATGTGAAGCAGATTTCGGATTCCCCGAGATCAGCTGCTTTAATGCAAAGCAAATTTCGGATTTTGTATCGCACAACAATAAAGTATCTATCTATGGATCGATCGATCTGCATATCATCAGTCTGAAGACATCAGCATGACAATATTTTGATTTGTTGTATGACAGACTGTATAGTTCCCCCTCATGGTGACAACAATTATCATCACCTGATTTTTTTTTTTTTTTTTGAAAAGCCTCAAGACCTTTATGGCTTCTAACTAATATTGTGACATCTCTCCAGTGGGCAGCGTGAATTCTAGCTCTTATTTGCTCTGGCCTTTATAATGTTACATTTTCTCACAGTTACTAAAACCCAGGCCAGTTGAGGCCAGTGGCATAAGCAGTAGAAAATGTGAATGAAGTGAAAGTCAGAGATGGTAAAAAAAAAAAAAAAAAGAACTACTCAAGCAAAGTACACACACAACTCAAGAGATATTTGTACTTTATTCGTGCTTCTGAGCAACACGCCACAGACCCAACCAACATGTACCACAATCCTTTTATTTGGAATCACGTGACGCGTCTCCCGTCAGCACGCCAAACACAAAACGGAGTTACATGAGTTCAACGTAATTGGCAGGAAACATGCCGTAATGGCCGTCAGGGCCATAACCTCGCCACCAGCCTTCGTCCACCATCTCGATGCCCGTGATGATGTCATCAGGATCGAAGGTGATCTCCGTGTCGTCGGCTGCAGAGGGAAAACTGCGCTTTATGGGAGGAGCTTCCGTGCGTGTGCGCCTGTGTGTGTGAGAGAGAGTATATATATACACGTACCGGCCTGGTAGTCATATACGGCTTTGGCGCAGATGTTTTGTTCTGCGTTGGCGGTGGCATTGTCGCCTTGGCCCTGAAACGTTATCAAATGTCATTAGCGTGAAAAGATGAGTGACACGACAGCCGCAAATGCCTCATTTCCACTTCTTTCCAGTAGAGACTTGTGCGTTTGCATCCCGCCCGACTGACCGTGTTTCTTGGCCCTGAAACGTTATCAAATGTCATTAGCGTAGCGTGAAAAGATGAGCGACACGACAGCCACAAATGCCTCATTTCCACTTCTTTCCAGTAGAAACTTGTGCGTTTGCATCCCGCCCGACTGACCGTGTTAGTGTCCTGGCCGGCGTCCTCAAAAAGGACAGCTCCGCCCATGGGCGCAGGCACCGTGTACTCTTTTTCTTGCAGATCTGTAGGAAACATGGCGTCTGCGAGCGATTTCATCCGCTGGCCGCTCGGCGCCAAGCCTGGTACCGCCTCGTACAGGTCATCGTCAAATTCATCCGACCAGTCGTCATCCTCCGCTGTGCATACCACAGAGACGCAAGTTACTTCCGGCTTGGCTTAGCTCGTTAGCTATATGCTAGAATTTGGTGACAAACCTGCAGACTGGCTCACTGCCCCAATGCTCCTGTCCTGTCCTGTCCTACGACGACACTGTCTGGTTCACTGTCCCAGTCCTGTCTTGTCTTATTTACTACTTTGAGCGACCCTTTCTTACAGGATGTAGCACTCGGTGTCTCAAAACACTTCTCTAGTCCTTGTCCCATTCTAGTCCGCCCCTTCACTGTCCCAGTTCTGTTCTGTCCTGTACCATCCTTGTTCTCTTGTCCCATTCTGTCCTATCACATCCCATAGCTCGCACTGCCTGGTTTACTATCCTGGTCCTGTCGAGTCGTATTTGCTGATTTTTTTGTCCTTTCCTGACAGGGTGTAGCACTGCCCGAGATAAAAGACTTTTTCAGTCCCACCCTATCCTGACCGGAACCCCTGCTTGTCCTGTCTCCTTTCCTACCGCTGTCCTGTCCTTTCATGTCCCTCTCAACACATGAAGCTCTTTACTCATTCACAGAAAAAGACGCACCTGCAGCCTGGGTGGGCACAGCCACTCCGGCAGGCATCACGGGCAAGGAGGCAGCGGCCACCGCCGGCCGTGAAAGGAAGTCGTCAATCGAGGTTGTGTCGGGACGAGGCGAGGAGGATGTAGTCCAAGAGACCGGGACAGAAGTTTGGCCACTGGCGGCAAGGTCAGAGGGCTGGTAGGGACTCCGGGTAGGCGAAGTCTCCTCAGGTGTCAAGATAGACGCGGGCGCCAAGGGTTGAACGGCTTGGTAGCCAGGGAGAGGCTGAGGGCTGTCAAAGCCTTGCTGGGACAAAAAGGGGCTTCGGAGCTTCCCTAAGGGACCAACACAAATGTAGGCACAAATACAGGTACATAGACATAGGCAGTAAAGGACTCTAACTAACTATGCTCACCTAGTAACAGTAAGTAAGTAACTTGATCAGTGATTAAGGGTAATGAGCTACCAAAAACCAATAATTGTAACTAAAGAGCTGTAACCAACTTCTATAACAGGGCCTTTTATTAAACATCTGTAACTGCAAGCAGCTATAACTACAACTACATAACTGCAACCAAAAAAATAAGTAATTAAAGCAAAATAAGAAGTAAACATGTGGCTTTTATTCAGATGATTAGAAAAGTATGGGAGACACACCACATCGGGTGTTCTTACCCGCTGTGTGGGCGGAGCCTCCGTAGCTGTGGTCAAAAGCGGTCTCCTTCTGCTTGAAGACGTCGCGAGGGTTGAAGGAGCGCTGCGAGATCAACGCCTTGGCCTCCTGCCACACAAGCGCCTCCGTTAGCCAAGCGTCATCGTTCATCGACAACACTCACGCGCCGTCAAGGGTTAGCTCTCACGCTGGCACCCTGCGCTGACGTGGCCTGCCTCATCCCCGCGGATGGAGTCTCGTTCTCCTGCAGGTTCTGGAACGGAAACTACAATTTCAAATGCTGCTTTAAATCACGCGCACGCACACACATATACACACACACACACACACACACACACACACACACACACACACGAACAGATTTCACCCTAGCGGTCAAATTTTGCCTTCTGCTTGCCGAAAGGCAAACCACCTAGATGAGCTAACAAAACTATCATCAATGTTGAGGTAGTTAGAGTAAAAGTCTTTATGCAAATGATGCAGCAGGACATGTAGAAGGACAACATAACAACAATCACAGGCGTATTTTCTTTATCTTCTCCAAAGAATGAGTAACATTACTGCAGTTTATCGAGTAGTTGTGAAAGTCTTGTCTTCAAAACTGGGTTATACTGCCCCCAGTGGTCAAATCAGGCACAATTAAGTCATCATGCACAATCTGTTTTAAGCCTTCCATTCTATTTCATGATGTTATTAAACCTAAAGTAGAATTTTGGCAAGCGCTGTCTTCCTTTTCAAAAAACATCATGCAACATGAAAGGGCAGCTTTCGGGGCGCGTATAATATCCGTGTGAATGGGTGTGGTTCTCCAAAAAAATTCTGGTGTGCCCACAACTGTAAAGTCAATTAAAGTTTTTAGCAGCTCGTGGATGAACTCGTCCACATGCATCAACTCAAACTCGCCATTACGGTTCTGGGTCTTGATTTTCCTGTGGTCGTTTTGGATTTCGAGAGACATAGACGAGTGAAAAGGGTGATCCCGGGCAACTCACATGGCCATTATACAACAGTTAGCATTTTGCATGCACATTTTCATGTCGTAAAAGAACACATTGAAATGGCAAGTCAAGTCAAAATATTGTCAAGACAACAATGCACTCTATGCGCACACACTAGTCCAAATATGACATTCTGATGAATATTGCCTTTGTGGAATATGAAGCAAGCAGCAAAATCCAGCCATTTTGATCCATCTCAGGGGGACGAATATTTTTACTTGAAAATGACGTCACCATTTCCTCAAGTGATGACCACGTTATTGGTACCTGAGCCCTGGGCAACTGTGAGGGCTTTTTCAGTCAAAATGGCTTTTTCTTGGAAGGTGATATTCATTTGCACGTTTTGTGCATCTGCTGCGTGTTTTCTGCGCATGCGTTTCTTGATTAACGTAACACTGTGCCTCGTATGCCTGTGCGTGTACTATACCCTGTGCACTCGGCACAGGGTATAGTACAGTATGTTGGAAAGTGGCAAGTTACTATTTTGCATTTGGAAAGATCCGAATTGGCGTGCAAATGCAAACCAAGCGCTGACGGCCAAACAATGCGGAGCAGAAGAGCAAAACGTTAATGCAAGTAAATACCTGTAATCGTTGTAGAGCGGCTCCAGGTACTTGTAGCAGTCGACCGCGGTGCCGGTGAGGCGCATGTACATGGCGCCGAGCAATCGCACGTACTTGAAGTCCTCGTTCTTGATGAACTCAACGATGATGTCCTTCTCGGGCTGAATCTGCAACAGCTTGAGCGCGAGGCACAAGAACGGCGTGGGCTTGATGTTGCCCCCGAACACGCCGCCAACGTACTTGAGCTCCATGGCCTTGTCGACCACCAGCTCGGCGGTTAGCCCGAAGCATTCCTCCTTCCAGTACTTGCACTCGTAAATGCGAGTTCGGATGATCTTCTCCACCAAGTACTGCGGGTTCGTCCCGTGGATGCTGTTGGCGTCTTTCACTGTCCTGTTCGCCATTTTGACGCTGGGGCAAACGTCCGCCTTCGTCTGCTTCGCGACTTCCGCTTCCGCTCGACTGGCGCTCGGTGTATCGGCCAACCAATTCCAAAACTAAGACACACAACGCGCAGCCACCTTCGCCTCGGTCTAAAATTGAAAGCTTTCAATCGCTCTTCGCTTTGTTACAATTCCAGAGAGGAAGCATTTCAAAAGACGGGAGAAAGAGTTGCCCTACACCCGTGTTGAGTTACACTGCCACCTAGCGAACTGGAGTGTGCATGGGGAGAAATTCAACTTCTTCCTTGGTTTTGCTTTTTTTTTTTTTGCTTGATTCAGATACACCGCCGACGGTACAAGCCAAAGACGCACACAGGCTACATAACAGGGTCGTACTAAAAAACACACGATTAAAAAAAACTAAATGGTGGGGCGATAAATTAATTATTACGTTTACTCCGCAAAGCCAATGAAATTACACAAAACCTACTGCTACGCATCAATTAACCAATTGAAATATTATTATTTATATTCCCTCGGACACATTAAAAAATATATATTTTTTTAAATCTTCACTTTTCTTCTTCGTGTCCCTCTCGTTCTTCGTGTCATTCTTCTTCTACGCCCGTCCCCTCCAAGCAAGCAGAATCAAAATGTCGGCCGCAAGGTTACTCGTGCGTTGGTCGGTGAGAGCTTCACCCTTTTCCTGGCGGGCGGTGGGCCACCGCCAGGCCGCCCTGGTCCCCGCGCTGAGCCGTGGAATGGCTGCCGGAGGTGAGCGAATAGCCGCGGAAGCTGAGACAAGCCGAAAGGGAGCTTTGTCCGCGACAAGGACGTAGCGACTTCGCTAGTATTCGCCTCAGCTGGAAAGAGACGGAGCCTTTCAAACCAGAAATTCACCGGGTCCAACTGTAGGGAAAGGACTTTAAGGGCGATTGCATTTCCTTTTAAGTAACGCATTTATTTGCACGGCTTCATTTTGCTCATCAATGACATTGTGTGTCAAATGTCAGCTAATCTGAAAAAAACTAGCTTTATCAGACGGACCTTGTAAAGGCAATAGTTGGATGGGCCGTCATTGAAATCTTGTTTTCCTCATTATAAATAATGCCAAGGAAGTTGGGACTCACAAAATGCGACGTCTTCATGCAAAGTCGAGGCGCGGTCGAGCTTTGAAGCGGTGACCTTTTTTGTTCAATCCGAGTTTCAAACCTTCATAACTTTCTTTGTCAAAACATCGTTGTCATTGGAACGCCCACTAAACGCAGAAACACACAAGAACAAGCACGTTAAATCACATGAAGTGAATCGTGTGTGGCTTCAGGAATCCCCACCGATGAGGAGCAAGCCACTGGCCTGGAGAAGATCATCATGAAAGCCATGAAGGAGGGCACGGTAAGAATGTTACGATGATGATTGTTATGATTGAACGATCATATATCTTCGGGCCCCATTGAACTTTTTTGGGACTTGGCGGCTGTGTAAAATAAACGTGTGGTGTGTCGTGTGCTACAGGACCCGTACAGCATGATGAGGCCCAAAGAGTACGCCGGTTCCAAAGTGGACCCTCACCTGGTGCCCTCCATCACTAACAAGAGGATTGTGGGATGCGTGTGTAAGTCACAACTACATAATAGCAATGTCGATCAGCTGTTTGCTCGCTTTGCCACATTTACAAGACTGATGCTCATACTTTCCATGGGGAAACATAGTGTGAATAAGCACAAGATGGGTCAGAAAATAGCGCAAATAGCAACCGAAAAAATCTCAAATCGGGAGAATCTGCAAATATTTGATGCTGATTGTAATTGCCGCTTGAATTTCTCTCAAGCCAAAGCTAATAATGGCAGTGGCAAGCAAGCGCGGCTAACCAAGGCAAGTGTGTGCGCAGGTGAGGAGGACAACACGGCCGTGGTTTGGTTCTGGCTCCACCAGGGCGAGGCCCAGCGCTGCCCTTCGTGTGGCGCCCACTACAAACTAGTCCCCCACGAGCTTCCTCACTAGGACGGACGGCCCAGAACCTCGCCGGCTCACCTCATCTCACTTCCTCTTTCCACTCGGTTTACATATTCGCAAACGTTCCGTTCACTCTTCTTCCCGCAGGAAATCAATTGTTTCATTCTCCCGTGTGATGACGTACAAATAAAATGGGAAATGTATGAAATGTTTGTCTCCCCTTGGGTGCTTTATTCTCACCACTATTTTCGTTAGCATCATGCTAGCTTTAGTGTACGTATACCACCTTTCCTTTCCGATCCACGGACTGCTATTTGAATTGACTAACAGTGTCGCTTATTCGCTGTCGGGAGAAGGCGGCCATCTTATGTTGCCACTTGATAAGCCTGCCTAACTCAGTGTGTAGGTCTGCGGACCAGATGCTATTAGAGGTACCCAGGACTAAGCGAAGGGCTCAGAGGGGATCCAGCATTTTCTGTTTGCTGGTCCCTCTCTTTCGAAAGACCCGAGTTGAGAATTTGGTAGATGGCTCCTTCACAAAAACCTCAGTGAATATTTGTTTGTTTTTAACTCGTTCTAGAAACACTTGACATGGATCAAATCTGTGAATTCAATGAAAGTTACTTACGGCACTTTATTATTCACCTAGTAGTCTGACATCAGTTCTCAAAAAGGGGAGTTATACGCTGTCCTTTCGTGTCCTGGAGAAGTAACAACTTTTCATCTCTCCTTGACCTCCAACAAAGTCAAGGAAAGGTGTCATCGAGGTTTGGTGATTAGACTTTGCCAAGAGGCCTGCTGGGAAATCTTGACCTTGCGGATACCACGGGAGAGCGTCCCCCCTCCCTCCCACCCCCCTTGGTAGAGTGCTCAAGTCACGTGGTCACATAATTGACATCTCAATGTGCTACGTGACCTCGAGGAAAAAAAAAAACTCGTTGCTCGCCACTGACATTGGGCTGTTGGTCGTGTCCATGGCAACAAGCCTCGTATAAAGGATTTGGTGACTTGACCGCTAGAGGGCGCCCGAAGCGCTGCAATCAAAGGACGCTGTTATCGATTCACCCCTGGTGAGGACGCAAAGTGGCCACCTGGAGGCGTCAGGCTCACTTCTCAGTGCAGGGAGCAGTTTCTTGACTATTAGCATTATCATCAGGGGAACCGTTTTGTACTTTCATCGCTATTGGCATTAGTATCATGCTAACCTAAGTCTACTTTAATCATTAATAACATTCGTCGCATGCTAAGTATGTTGTGCTTTCATCACGATTAGCAGTCAGCTGTAAAATTAGCTCTCATTGCAAATATTTAAGAGTTCAAATGTGCAAAGTCAGAGATATTTGAAACAACGAGCGTTCTCGAGCGTTTGTCTGTTTTTCCAAACATGTTTTATTAATTATCACCATAAAAAGCCAGCCAGCGAGGTGAGATGAGAGCTGGATGATCGCCGATGGATGAAGGAGTCAATAAAAACGCGAGCGGGCGTGGCCCTTTCACTTGCTGCCGGCGGCAGCGGAAGTTAAATCGAAGGACCCCCTCTGGTGGAACTGCATATCGCGGATGCGGCGCACCGACTGGATCTGAGGCTGGATGGCCGAGAAGTCATTGCAGTGGCGGTAGTCGCCACTCTCCAGCAGGTACTGGTATCCCCGGTAGCCTGGGTACTGGTAGCCCACCCACCTGCGGACCGAGCAAGTGAGGCGTTCAACTGCCACAAGGGGGCGTCCTCTTGCTCCTCGTGCACCCTCATTCACAATGCTGCTAAAAATGCTTACCAGTGCCTATGGATGCCACAAGATGGCACTAGTTTGGTCTAAATCAAGCACCGTAACATAGTTCAGTTGCACCAAGGACTAATATTACACACACACATACATACACACACACACACACTTATCTATCTATCTATCTATCTATCTATCTATCTATCTATCTATCTATCTATCTATCTATCTATCTATCTATCTATCTATCTATCTATCTATCTATCTATCTATCTATCTATCTATCTATCTATCTATCTATCTATCTATCTATCTATCTATCTAATTTGTCTAATTTGTTGTATCATTGTATTGCGATTCGTGTGAGCATTATTCTAATATTCTAATCCAACAAACATTTCTCATTATTAGCTTTAGCACAATGGTAACACAATGTACTTTACTCATGATCAGGCATAAGGTCACGCAATGTACTTTCAATAACTTAACTTCAAAATCATACCAATGCAACATTTTCCTATTAGCATTAGCAAAATGCTCTTGAGCCAATGTATTTCGATCACTATTTACCATGAGCATCATGCTATTAAAAGTGCCCTTTCAATGCATCATGCTAACCCAGTGCACTTTGATGACATATAGCATTAGCTTCATACTAACTTAGTGCACTTAGATTAGCGTTAGCATACCCATGCATTTCCATCACTACTGGAGTTAGCATCATGTTAACTCAATGCACCTGCATTTCAAGTGGCATTAGCGTCATGCAAACCCAGTGTACATTTGAGACATCACTGTGAGCATTGTCTGTCATTGTGTCAGAAATAGCATTAGAATTGCATAAACCTCTTTCAGTTTACCACTCTTAGCATTAGCATGTTGAGCTTTGCGCATGCTTTTTTTTCGATTGGTGGAAGAGCAAACATTATTTCAGGAGAGATAAAAATGTCAAAAGTCCAAAAATACATATTGGTGTGTAAACAAGAGCAAAGCCAGTGTGACTGGAGACCGCGATTTGACGCCTTGTCACGCTCTGGCAATATTTGCCATGTTCAGCAGAAGCGCCGGCGGCTTCGTCGTCATCTCTTTGGTGGTGGAAGCTAAGCTACACTCTAGAAAAGGGCATTCACGTTCCCCTTGTGGGCACAGTCATGCTGTCCACACACACACACACACACACGCACACGCACACACACACACACACACACACACACACACACACGCACACACACACGCACACACACACACACACACACACACACGCACAGACGATGCATGCATAACAAGCAACATACACAAACCCATTTAATGTGCACAGACAATACAAAAACACGCACATTTATATAACACACACACACACACACACACACACACACACACACACACACACACGCACACACACACACACACACACACACAGAAGCTAAGCTAGGCTAGGCTAAGTTAAGCCACTGGACTTACGCTCCCCCTGGGACCTTCACGCTGCCCACCCGGTCGGAGAAGCCATGCGCCCACAGGGTGGGAACGTCGTCCTCCTGGATCTCCATCTTGTTGCCCTTGAAGTCAGAGAGCTCATGCAGGCAGATTTTGTGCTCCAAGCTGTCCTGTCAACATTAGCATCAATGCAACATCGCGCTAAGTCAATGTCCTTTTCATTACTATTAGTACTAGCAGAATCCAGGGAACGTACATACGTTCATCACCGTCAGTATTAGTGTCATGTCAACTCAATATACTTTTATTACTATGAGCAAGAGCATCACGCTAACTGAATGTACTTTCATCATTATTAGCATGAGCAACGTTCTAGGTGAGCATATGTTCATCACTATCAGTATTAGCTTTATGCCAGTTTCGTGCCAATGTAGTTTTACTGCTATTATATATATAAATACTGTAATAAATAAAAATCAGCCAAACGATGGCTCGTATCTCGAAAAACTTGCAAATCGCAGTGATTCAGGGAGTTGGGAAGGAGTGCATCATTTGTACCGTGGTGGCTGCATTCGGAATCCTCATTTATTTCCCGACTCACCAATCGTTACAGTTGGATTTACATTTGGATGTTTGGGAACGATCCATGACGGCGCTGACCATACGTACCATGTGGATGGGCCTGAGCGACATGAGGCAATCGCTGCGGTACGAGTTGCTCCAGGTGTCCCAGCGAGGATACTCTCCCTTTTCCAGGATGAACATCTCCCCACGGAGGTTGGTCTGCTCGAAGGCAACAAAGCTGGAAGAAGGGGGTAGGAGTGGGGGTGCCACGAGCGGGGCCGGTGGGTGGGGAGGTCAAGAAGGAAGGCCAAGGAAAACGAATGAGTGGCGAGGAAAAACAAAGCGCAACATCAATCGACGTGTGTATCTTACGGGCCGTTTTCCACGATGATGCTGCGCACTCTCTCCAGGCCTCGGTCGGAAACGTTCAGGCACTCGCTCTGAAGCTCCAACGAGCGGCCCTGGAAGTTCTCCTGGTCGAACAGTGTCAACTGCAACACAAAATGCGCGAGGGTTACTGTAATAATAGAACACGAAAATACTTGCAATGTCTTAATGTTATAATTTATTACATATAGTGAGAATCATGGAAGTTGACATTCTTGATTTGCTTTTGGTGGGGCACATAAAATGATGCGGCGGGTGAGATCGGGCCCCTGGGCCACCAGTTGGACACCTGTGTTCATGGGAACTTGGTAACTCGATGAGCAGAAAAACAACACAATTTCCCATTTTTTCTCATGCTGACTGACTGGCTCATAGCAAAGTGCGAAGAGAAAATGGCGTCATGTGCATGCCAGGCCACTAGTTGGCGTTGTGGCACCCCAAGGATGCTTTCCAATAGACCCCATCGACGTCACAAATGTTAATTTGAAAAATGGCGTCATATCTACTTCTGCGGTGGTATCCCTAATTGCTCTGTGGTTACCGTGATGTCTTGAAGGCATCAAAGTGATGTAACCAAACTCACTTTGAAGGTGCCCAGGCTGGGCTCACCGGTCTTGGTGGCCTTGCTGGAGGCGGCGGGCGCGCCTCCCTTGTTGTCCTTGGCGTCGGCTCCCTGGCTGGAGGCGGACTTGGCGGTCTGAGACATGGCGAGGAGGGAGCTGGGCGGGGTGGGGGCGGGGTGAAAGGAGGAACAGGAATGGGTGACAATCATTAAAATTGGCAAACACCAAAGATACCAGGGATAGGCTTCCGCATACCTGCGACCCTCGTGAGGACAAGCGGATAAAGGATGGATTTATTTTCAAGACGTGAATTAACGGGGATTTATGAAAATGTACTCGGATTACGGCGTAGATATTCCCTGCAAAAAAAAAAAAAA